TGAGCCGGCTAAGGATGCCTAGGGGGTGAGGTTCTCCTGAAGCTGCCAGATTGCCTGGGTGGGGGTGTCACTTCTCTGCCCAGAGAGGACCATGCATACGGGGTCAAAGCACAGGACTGCATTTCCTGCCATCCTGGGACAGCTCTTCCTTAGACTTTGCAGCCCTCTCCAGAGGACAGTCATCTTTCACAGAAGGGGAAGGAGTGGCGCTCAGGGCTCTTAGACCTGACAGGAGGCACAGTAAGAGCTGGAGGACCCTCCACTGAGCCTCGTGCTGGCTGGGGGCCTGGGCCAGTCTCCTTGCCTGTACTCCTAGGCCACTTGCCCAGCCGGGGCTCTGGGTTTTGTTTGTTTGGGCGTGGGGTGGGTTTACTTTGGCCTTCCCCCTTCTCTTCCTCATCCTGACCCTAGGCTCTCTTGATTCAACCATTCCCTGAGCCAGGCCTGTGGGAACTAGAGTCGACCCCAGGACGGGCAAGAAGGTGCACTGAATCTGTAAGAGGAAAGAGGGTGGCAGGGTCCAGTATGGAGGCAGAGATGAATTTGGACTGAAGAGGCTGGGCTGGTGCCCTGGAGGAGATGGCACCTGGGCCAAGCCAGTTTGTAAATTCAGAAACATCTAACAAGGGCCAACATGAGCCAGGCATTTCTCTGAAGGCTGGGACACGGTAGTGAAGAAAGTTTCTTTCCTTGTGTGGCCATATTCTGGTTGGAGGAGAAAAACAATAAACAAATAGACAAGTCAATGTATAGCATGTCAAGTGGGGACAGGTCCTGTAGAGACTGAAGCAGGGCAGAGAGAATGGAGTGTGCAGAGGCGGGACATTGCTGTTTACACGTCGGGTAAAAAGGGGCAGAGAATATTGAAGTCATTCTTTTTTTTTTTTTTGTACTGGGGATTGAACCCAGGGGTGCCACATCCCCAACTCTTTTTATTTTTTATTTTTCTATTTTGAGATAGGTTCTCACTAAATTGCTTGGGGCCTCACTAAGTTGCTGAAGCTGGTCTCAAACTTGAGATCCTCCTGCCTCAGCCTCCCAAACTGCTGTGTTTACAGGTGCACACCACTGCACCTGGCTGTCATTCTTTGAATGGACTCGTTCTTTGTAAGAGAGACTGAAGGCTGAAGGGTCTGAGCAAAGGAACAGCATGCTTCCAACTTAAATCAGAACAGTTTCATTCTAGTCGCCACACTGAGGACACTGAGGGGCTGGAGGGCAGAGACAGCAATGGGAGGCCAGGTGCAAGGAGAAGCAGGGTGGGGAGAAGTTCAAATTTTGATGCATTGTGAAGACAAATCTTGGATGATGCAATAAAACTTGACCCACAGAGATGCAGGGGAGGACAGAAGTACTGACAGGTCAGACAGGAGTACAGGAAGAGTCCTGGGGAAGGGGACTTGGGCAGGTCTGGGGTTGGATGCTGAGGGCTACAAAGACCTGGGTGGAGGTTAGCAGCTGTGCTCTGTGGTTTGGGAACGGGACACCTGCTGGGCAGTAGGGGAGGGTGTGCCATAGGGAGAGCAGGGAAGCCAAGGGGCTGCCATGGTCTAGGTGGCAGGTGACTTCTCCAGGTCCCAAAGGCCTGAAGAAAGGAAAAGAACCCTCTCCCCCTCCCGCTTCCTGGCAGGCTGTTGCAGACGGCCCAGCGCCTTGCCTTCAGCTGGCTTTTATTCAGGCCATGAGCAGAGCAGGGTAGATGGTCCTTCACTCCCATCAGGACTCCTGCCACCCTCAGCATCAAGACAATGGGCCCCACTGGCCATGATAAAGGGCTTCCTCTTATAGAAGTGGTGCAAGTAAGGTTCACCCTGGGGATGGCTGGTTTTATTCAGGTGTGTGGGGGGTGGCCAAGAAGGATCCCTGATGCACAGGAATGAGGGGGCGAGGGGCTTGGCCAGCTAGGGTTGTCCACTCCCAAAGGCTGTTGCTATCTACCATCAACTCTGCAGGCCACTGCATGAGCCTCGCCTATGCCCCACTGACCTCCCTCAGCAGACAGAGGCTCTCCTCAGGGCCTTGTTCTGCAAAATCCTCTCAGCTATCCCCAAGAAGGCAAAGGGGCAAGAGGGAAACTGTGGCATGAAGCAGGGGCACACATGCAAGAGTCCCCTCCTCCCGATTCCAGCTCCTGGGGTGCCCCTCCCCGCACCAGTTTGGATATCTGTTTGCATTTGTTCACGTGCACCTTTCCCCCACCTGGGAGCACTGAGGCCACATCCTGCTCCTGTCTGTGATCCTAGTCTCTGCCCAGGGCAGTGAGGTGTTAACGAATGGAGGGATGTGGCCCTTCCCGGCGGGTGGTAGGTAGACAGAAGTGGAAGACACTAGTGGAGGGATATAAGGAAGCTCCAGAAGGAGCTGGTCACGCCAGGTACCCTCCCTCCTGCCCATCCCAGGCTACAGCAATTACCCACATTTCCTGAGGACCTACTCTGAGCCAGGCCCTGGGCACCTACACGTGAAATTCCATTTCATCTTCAGAGAAGCCCTATGAGGCAGGCACTCTCGCCATCCCCATTTTACAGATGCAAACGGCACAGAAAGGTTGTCTGTCCAAGGTCACATGGCCACTGCACAACAAAACCAGGATTCAAGAGCTGATTTGTCTGGTGACATGCTGTGTGCTTAGCTACTGTATACCCTCCTAGCCCCCACAGAGCCCCAAATGCATGTGTCTAACCTCAGTTTTGCCTACCTCAACTGTGCCCAGTTATTCCCATTCCAAAAGACCAGTGATTGTGTTTGAGGAAAGCCTTTTATAAAGTTGACAAATGCCACTTCTGTATCATTATTAATGATATAAACAGCCTCTTTCCCGGCCATTGTTTAGGATTTCCCAGGGTCTACTTTCCAGCACCCCACCCAATCCTCCATTTGTGGTCCTCCCAGCCAGGTGCCCATGTGCTTTCCCCTCCCTCCCCATCCTTCCTGTGGGCCTGGAGGCGCCCACAGCACCAACTACTAAGCCTACACATTCTAGGTGGGTTTCCTGCTAGGCTCGCCTCTCCAGCAGCCATTGGTCTGCCCCCCAGGGGACTGGACCAATTGTTTCTCAGACCTCAGAGCATAGGGTCTGGAATTCTGACTCCAGGCACACCCTTCTGCTCTGCCAATTTGGGAAGTTAATTCCAGGCAATCTTGAAATCCAGATAAAGGAAAGCCCATAGAAATAATGAATTCTGAAGAAGATCTCTGAGAACTTGAAGTTCAGGAATTTGGAAATTTCTGGATCTCAAGTTCTAGGCATACCCAAAACCTCACATTTTGATAGAACGATCTTGGACATTCTGATCTCAGCAATTTTAATTCTAGTTCCTCATGGACATTCCTATTTTCCATTTCCCTGGGCCATTTGTATGATAAACTTTTTTTTTTTTTGTACTGGGGATTGAACCCAGGACAATCTACCACTGAGTTATATCCCCAACCCTTTTCATTTTTAAATTTGAGACAGGGCCTTGTTAAGTTGCTGAGACTGGCCTTGAACTTGTGATTCTCCTACCTCAGCCTCCTGAGTTGTTGGGATCACAGGTGAGCACCACTGAACTCAACCAAATTTACCAAGTTTGGAAGCTGGAAATAGATTTCAAACTCTCTTCTCAAAGATAGCTGTCAAATTCCCAGAAATTTTTTAAAATACATTTTTTTAAAAAATTTTGTTCCAAAGGATGCAGCTCAGTGGTAGAGGACATGCTTAGCATACATGAGGCCCTGTGCTCAATCCCCAGCACCAAAACCAAAACCAAAACAAAAACACCCCTCATAAATATTAAGATATTAATATATTCAAAATGTCATTATTTTAATGCTATCTGCAATGGGAAATAGCATTAAAATAATGAGCAATGGCAACTTGGTTGGAGCATTACCTACAAAGTGATCAATGTTTGGGATAATGGCAACACAAGTATCCCAAAAGTCATGTACAAGATTTCCTTCATCCCCAGTATTCTTTTTCGTCCCACTAGGCCTTTCTATTTCTATTTCTCTGAATGCTAGTGAATGCCTAGGCCTGAAGCCTGGGGAGGGAATCTGGGGAGGTGGGGGAGGAGGGATGAATTGCACAATGCCTTCTCTGAACCTCAGGAAATTCCCAGGACTTGGCCTTCTCAGCAACCTGGCTTTTAGCCAGGGCTCCCACAATTCTCATCCCCCAAAATCACTGTCCTTAAACTGGGGCTTGAGTTTCTGCCCCATGGTCCCACTGGAAGTAGGGGGCCAGGGAGCCCTCAGAAGCCTGTGTTTTTCTGGCTCCTTCCCCTGTCTCCCTGTCTCTGGGCAGACAGCACTGGTCACTGCTCTTGCCTTGATCAGGGAAAGCAGGGCAGGGGGAGGGGAGGGAAGGGTATGCTGGGGACAGAGCCACTGGAGGTCAATGAGCCTTCAACAATCAGGCTGTTAGTCCAGTCAGATTTCTCAGCCAGCCGGGGGGCCTCCAGGGTCCGGGGTAGGAGAAAAGGGACAGATTGATCTGTATGGTTGGGACTCCTGCTTGGGACAAAAGAACCTATCTGGAATGGTGGGGAGTTGGGTGATGGGGCAGGGATACATGTAGGGAGGGGCGGTTTCAGTGCCAGTTATTTGGTCTGGGGCTTTCCTTCTCTCTTGCACCTGCCAGCTGAGCCAACGTCTCCTGCCCTCCAATGACAAATCCCGTCTCCCGGCCCGAGGCCCCTGCAAGATCCCCACTTCCCAGCTCCCTGGTCTCCAGCTTCTTATCTGGAGCATTTTCCCAGCTGCCCTCTCACACCGGCTCCCTGGCTCCCTCGACCTCCTCAGCCGGTCCCAATTCTCTAGCCCTCCAACTCCTGTCCTTCCTCAGTCGCTGCAAACTCATAGGCTTCTCCATTCCATTTCCCGATCCCTCCGCTCTTACCCCGGGACCCTCTAGCCCAAGCCCGGTCCTAATCCCCAAGCACCCCAGTCCCGCCTCCACGTCCCCTCTCCCAGCGCTCCCGCCTTCCCGAACCCGCATCGGCCCAAGCCCGGGCACTAACCCGATTCGGAAGAGCAGCCGCTGGCTGCGCGTCATGAGCAGGCCGCGGAGGCCCCGCCGCACCCGGCAGCTGCGGGGACTCAGGAGCAGAAGTACGGCGAGGAGCAGCAGCCCGCAGCCGGCCGCCCACAGCCCAGGCGCAGGCCAGCCGGCCCAGACCATGCTAGGGGCCGGCGCCGGCGGCCGCCGGGGGCGTGGCTGGGCGTTGCTAGGCGACGGCCGAGCCCCGGCCCCACGCGGGGAAGCTGCGGGATGGGGGCCGGGCTCCGGGCGCGCGGGCTTCGGGGCGCTCGGGGCGTTGCGGCGCCGCCCAGTCCCTGGCTCGCATTCGGACCCGCCCCCTCGCCAGCCTCGGCCGGGCGCACGCGGAGAAGGCCACCCGGCTGGAGGCGACCGGCTCTGCCCCTCGCTGGCCCGCCAGGAGGCCCGACCCAAACGAGGTTCGGACCTGCGCTAATCTGGGTCTACAGTCGCCTGAATCCTCTGAAGTAAAAGAAGCCCGCAGCCCGTGCCTGCTTCTTCCCCATCCAGGGGACCTTGGGAGAGGCTCTGGAGTGGTCTTTCTAGCAAGAAGCCCTAAAGAGACTTTTTGAGGTGGAAGGAACCTGGAAGTTTATCTGAGTCAGTTGCTGTTCACTCAGTTTATTCATTCACTAAATTACTTTTCTAGCTCCTCCTAAATGCCAGGCACTGCGCCAGCATCTGAGGATGAAGGGTCAAAGATACCCAGCCTGTGTTCCTGGAATCTAGAATCTACAATCTACAATCTAGAATCTAGTGAGGAGACAAACCAAGTTAGCAAACAATTATATGTATATACTTCACACACACACACACACGCATGATGACAAACTGTGGTGCTATAGAGGAAGCAAAAAGTGGGGACAATTACATGGAGCGCAGAGAGGACTAATTTAGATGGGGAGGGCCCCCTGAGGAGATGGCATTTCACCATGTCAGTAGGATAAGAGGCCGCCCAGGCTCAGGCTGAATGACTTGATCAAGGTTATGCAGTGAGGTGGGGCAGAGCCAGGTCTAGGACCAAGGCATCCTCCCTCCCATGCCCCATGGGATTTCCACATTGCTACCCTCCACCCCTTACTGCTGCCTTCCTGAAAGTGTTCCAGAAGTCCTTATGGCTGGGATAGAAGTGGATGCAAGAGGGCAAGGGAGGTGAAATCTACAAATTTAGGCACACAGGAGTCAGGGCTGGGCTCCTCTGGATCCAGCCTTGCCCTGGCGCAGTACAGGAAGGAAAGGAAATGCTGCAAGCAGTCAAGCTCACCAGGGCTCCCTCTGGGAGATGGTGTGGAGGGAAGCAGGTGAGGCAATGCTCTTGTTTTCTTCCCTGCTTCCTGTGCTCTGGTCTAAGACCAGATAACCTGACCCCCACATCATACATTTTCTCTTTCCTCTGAAAAACAAGGATTAGATTTTTGGATCTAAAGGTGGCAGCTGCACTGTGCGGAGTGTATAACTGTAGGATCATTGTGTACAAAGTACCCTCCTTTTCCTCCTTCTACCCAAAAAGCCAAGGGATGGGTGAAATTTTCCCCAAATGCAATTGCAATATGTATATACTTAACACACACACGCATCATGGAGCTTGTTTTACATGGATACATCTTGAGGGACAGTGCCTATGACCCACACCCATCTTGTTCCTTGCCTGCAGTTCAACTTCTCAGTGCCTGGCACAGAAAGGGCAGGTGCAACAGAGGAGGCCTGGGGGAGAGGAAGACTGATAAACTAATTTGCAGAAAGGTCTTCCAGGATGGTGGAGTTTGTGTCTCTACATGCAAAGTGAAGAATTTTTACTTTTTACAAGGTGTATTATAAACACAGCTTGCTCCAGGTGAGGCTGTGCCAGGCAAGCATTATCTTGAGAAATTATAACATACTCCTTGTGATCAGAAACAGGAAAATGCAGGCTCAAGTATGAGCCTGCGAAAAACAGACAACTGGATCCTAAATCTCAAGCCATATGCTCACATTAAGACTAGAGATAACAAATCCAAGATGCATTTTGTGAAATACAAGGAGTGAAGGCAAGGCTGAGGATAAAGAGGAAGGATGGGTGTTTTGGGGGACTCATACAGTCTCAAGAGATCATCCTTCCTTACCCTGGTCTGTTCTGGAAGACTTCCCATGGCTGCTCCAAATCTGCTTTCGTTTCACCTCCTCTCCCATGAGAATCTTTTGTCCCAGCTAGACTGATGCTTCATTATCCACCCTGTCCTGTACCTTATACCCTGTAATACCTAACTACTTATAACTTTTGGAATCTCCCATGTTGTTTCACACCCCCGTGCCCTTACACATGCTGTGCTTTCTGCCTGGAGTGCCAATCATTCTTTGTTCCCTAAAGATTCAGATCTGATGCACTTGCTTCAAGAAAGCTTTTATTGAACCCTCCCACCCCCAGCGTGGGTTTAAGCATGTTCTCCTTGTGCCAACTCTCGGTCTTATACATAATCCTATCATTCAGGATATAAACGCAATACCCACGCCATATCTTCTTTGCTTACATGTCTATCTTAGAGTCCACAGTCTTGAAGACTTTACTGTCTTCTTTAAGAATAGGGATTATAATTTAATTTATTCACCTTCAACTCTCCAGTGTCTGGTAGGATGCCAAATGCATATTACACAATGTTCCTTGAAACATCAAACTCCTATCCATAGCCCACAAGGCCCATGACTGATAGAGCCTGTCTCTTCAGCCTCCTCAGATGCCATTCTTCCTGTCATCACAGATCAGTCACATGGTTCTTTGAATGTGCCAAGCTCATTCCCACCTCAGGGTCTTTGCTCATGCTCCATCCACTTGGTACATAGTCCCCTCAGTTATTTAAACAGCTCAAATGCCAACAGATGAGAAATAACTCACATTTCCAGCTGAGTGGTAATTGTGTGACATACCAGGGGCTCTCAAGTACAACTGGGTAGAGGAGTGCTACTAGTACCTAGGCTGAGGCCAGCGATGCTGTTAAAATCCTACAATGCAGCTGGGGACAGTGGCACTCACCTGAAATTCCAGCATCACAGGAGGCAGTGGCAGGAGAATTGCAAGTTCAAGGCCAGCCTCAGCAATTTAGTGAGGCCCTAAGCAACTTGGCAAGACCCTTTCTCAAAATTAAAAAGTAAGGGGGCAGAGTGGAAATATGGCTAAGTGGTTAAGCACCCCTGGGTTCAATCCTAGTACTAAAAAAAAAAAAAAAAAAAATCCTACAATGCACAGGACAAAGCCCCTACAACAAAGAATATGTAGCCCCAAATGTTTGTAGTATATGTTGAGAAACTGGCATATTCAAATATAAAAACTCATCAAGCTTTACACTTAAGATTTGTGCACTTTACCAAATGTATACATCAAATTAAAGAAAACATTCACACCTTCGAGAAGCCTTCATGGGCCACTCCATCACTATTAAATTACTTGAGTTACTCTTCTTCCTTCACCTTAAAGGCATTTTTCACAATCTGACGTTATTTTGTGGTTCCTGTCTATCACCCCCATTGGAATATAAGCCCTGAAGTCAGCGGTGGCCCAGAGAAGACATTTGGTTAAGTATTTGCTGAATGAATGAGTGGATGATAGAAGAAAAGAATGGATGAATGACAATCTATATTGCTGTTGAGCACTGTGACTGTCAAAGGAACCCTCTTATTCTGACCAGTGGGCTTGGTCCCTGAAGGAGAGTTGTATGGAAACTGAACTCCAAGCAAGAGGCAGGTCTTGAACAGGGAGCAGAACAAACTACGTGGGAAAGCTGCAGGAGACCCCAGCTGGGGCACCCGTACACCTCTGGATCTTTGGCTACAGTGTCCTCTCCAGAGCAGCCTGAGGGCATGGCAAAGGCTAGGGTTTGCCTCTACAATTCTCTTTGGGGAGACCCAGCAATGACCGGAGGCGGGTCAGGCCTGTGGTGTGGTGGTTTCAGAGCTTTAACTACAAGGGGCAAGTGCCCCCCAGGTTCCCGGAGTGGGTGGGGGTGGGGTTCTCACATCTGCCTCTTGTTCCACCTGCCAGCCCGGGCTGTGCCCTTAGAATGAACAATCTGTCCTCATCTTTGCAGCAGGGCTCAAGCTGGATGACTAGTGCTTGGATGGCATACAGGAAATCACTGGCAATGATGATGATGATTTCAAGGACAATGACAATGATGACATGGCCATGAAGGAGTTTTGATGGTTGGAGCTATTTGAATGTTAGGAAAAAAGAGATAGCTTGTTGGATCAGGAGGACAAAGTCAGTCCAGCTGAGTGAAGTTAACCCGATACAGAAGTGGTAGCTGGGATGCCCTGGTCCCTGCTCTGCCAAGCCCCAGCCACATCATTCTATTTTCTCATTTTTTGGCCACCCAAAACTTACCATCCTGGTGTGGACTTCCCTCAGAACCCTGATTTTGTGGGAAGCAGATCCTCCTCACCCTCTTCCTTCTCAAAGAGCTCCCTCCCTGTCCCCCCTCCATTTAAAAATATTTTTAGTTGTAGATGAGCATAATAACTATTGAATTTATTTATATGTGGTGCTGAGGATTAAACCCCGTGCCTCACACGTGCCAGGCAAGCGCTGTACCACTGAGCCACAATTCTAGCCCTAGACAATGTCTCTTTAAATTAGGCCCTCACTAAGTTGCTGAGGCTGGCCTTGAACGTGGGATCCTTCTGCCTCAGCCTCCTGAGTTGTAATGGGTAACTAACTCAAGCCTGGATGTAAAATAAACTAAAAACACTGAGAATTAATGCCTGGGAAAGGGAGAGTTCCCCTCCCATTTCTAGTCAGCAATCTTTTGGATTGTAAATGCTGTCCCCTAGGATCTAACTACTTTCCTTTGAAATATCAATGCCCCTTCAGAGGCTCCAGGCCCAAGGCTAGAGATTTATCAAAGGCCTTGTAAAAGGAGTTGGTTCTTCCTCTTATCACACTCTGTGCTTCCCCTTGAAACCCGTGCATAACTATGTATCCTTTAGACTAGAATATTCATGACGCTAGATAGCCTATAAATGTTGTGAAAACTGATGGTGGCCACTCAGAATTTGCAGTCTGATCTCCTCTGGGCCTGCCAGCCTGTAAAATAAAGCTTGGAGTTCTCCTCTCTGAGTGCCCTGCGCTGCTCCTCCACCAGTCTGTTTTCTTCAGCGGAGTCCTGGGATTA